GCCTGCTCCAGGCTGAACACCCCAACTCCCTCAGCCTATCGTCATGGGAGAGGTGTTCCATCCCTCTAATAATTTTCATGGCCCTTCTCTGGACCTGCTTGAGCAGCTCCATGTCTTTCTTATGCTGGGGGCCCCAGAGCTGAACATGGTACTGCAGGTAGGGTCTGACCAGAGCAGAGTATAGGGGCAAAATCACCTCCCTCGACCTGCTGGCCACGCTTCTCTTGTTGCAGCCCAGGATGTGATTGGCTTTCTGGACTGTGAGTGCACATTGCTGGCTCATGTTCAGTTTTTCGTCTACCAGCACCCTCAAGTCCTTTTCCGCAGGGCTGCTCTCCATCCACTCATTGCCCAGCCTGTATCTATGTTTGAGATTTGTCCCAACCAATGTGCAGGACCTTGTACTTCACCTTGAACTTCATGAGGTTCATAAGGTTTGCAGTGTGCCCACCTCTCAAGCCTGTCCAGGTCCCTCTGGATGGCCTCCCTTCCCTCTAGAGTACCAACCACACCACACAGCTTGGTGTTGTCAGCAAACTTGTTGAGGGTGCACTCAGTGCCACTGTCCTCGTTGCTGAGAAAGATGTTAAACAGCACCTGTCCCAATATGGACCCCCGAGGGACACCACTCATCACTGGCCTGCACCTGAACATTGAGCCATTGACTGCCACTCTTTGAGTGTGACCATCCATCCAGTTCCTTGTCCACGAAGTGGTCCACCCGTCAAATCCATGTCTCTCCAGTTTAGAGACAAGGATGTTGTGCGGGACAGTATCAGTACTTTGCACAAGTCCAGGTAGATGATGTCAATCACTCTTCCCTTATCCACCAATGCTGTAACCCTGTCATAGAAGGCCACCAAATTTGTCAGGCACAGTTTGCCCTTAGTGAAGCTGTGTTGGCTGTCACCAATCACCTTTCTGTTTTCCATGTGCCTTAGCATAGTTCCCAGGAGGATCTGCTGCATGATCTTGCTGGGCACAGAGGTGACACTGACCAGCCTGTAGTTCCCTGGGTCTTTCTTTTTTCCATTTTTGAAAATGGGGGTTGTTTCCCCTTTTCCGGTCACTGGGAACTTCACCAGTCTGCCACAATATGATGCAATACCAAGTATTTGTTCCGGGAGTAATGACAATTGTAGCAATGATCACTAAAATGGAAACTACCCAATATGTTTTTATTATTTTTTGTTTTACTTTATTTGAGTACCTGTTTTCTAGTTGAAAACTGAGTAGATATCAAGTGTGTTGCATTTGTACGTTTCTCTGCTTTGAAGGCTAATCAAAAGGAAACAGAATTATGTTATTATGCAGTAGGTTGTTTCCAGTTTGTCTGGGATGCCATTACGTTAAAAACCAAAATGATAGATTTTCTGTCTGTAACAAAGGAGAATCATGTCTGGGCCTTTGCCATTGTTTGTGTTGAAATGTGTGTGATTTAGTCTACCACAGCTGTTACCAAGAAGAAATAACTACAGACATCTCTGCCTTATCTCAAATAGTATACTTCTGCATTTCTAACAGATAACCATATTTGATGCGGAGTCAGAAGATCAGCAGGACATTGATTTGGCAATTCTGACTGCACTCTTGAAAGGTACCTGTCTAAAAGTATGACCTGTTTTCATCTGACATACAGCCCCATTGGCTTACCTTTTCAAAGCAAAGGAGTAACATCAACGTGTGAAAACTGCTAGGTCCTTTACTTGTTTCCTAGGTACAAATATGTCTGCTTCAGATCAGCTAGATTTGGCATTGGCCTGGAACCGGCTGGATATTGCCAAGAAACACATACTGGTTTATGGACAACACTGGAAGGTACTATTACCTTTTATTTTTCACAGCAGCTTTACACTTTATTATGGTAACTAATTTTCTATGATTTGCATTTGTCAAGCTTTAATTAAGGAATAGTTTGATGGTTTGAGTCAGTCTTCTTGAGTAACCATCTTTGATTTTGGAAAGACATTATTCTTAAAATTGTAAAGTATTCAACTGCAGAGTGTTTCAGATGAAAAATCAAACACATTTGTTTCCCCAAAGAAGAGGTGGTATCTAAAATACCTGTAGTTTTCGCTGGCAGCTTTTCCAAATGATTTCAGTGGTTCTTCTGGATATGTATTCCTCAATCATTGATGGTCAAGGATTATTTCAGTGTAGCCCATACTACTCTTTCCTCCAAAGGAGTAAAATCCAAAGGAGTGTTGCCTCTATTTTCCTAGCTCTAGACAGAAATATAGAAATCACGGTCCCTTATGGTGTTACCAGGTAAAAAAAAAGGTAGAATTAACTGTGGTAGCGTGGCATTGTTTCAGATATCGTTTCTTAGGAATAGCTACAAGCCATGATTTAGACCTACATTGACTATATGCATGTGAAAGAACATACAGTAGCTTTGAATCAGTTCTATAAATTGTGGTTTTGAAGTTTTCAGATATAATACAGCATTTACCACTCCCTAAGTGAGTTTTTATGTACATAATATGATTTTTGTAGATGATTAATATAAAACTGTATGTGCCTCAACACATGCTATTCCCGTTTGTTGTAAAAGGAAATATTTTCTTCAAGGAATTATATCTGATGTTCCCAGAAGTACTTTTAAAGTTTTCTCTTCAAAGAATTACAAGGTTGACTTTTCCAGGTCTGAGTGCCTTTTCTTCTCTACAATGTGAATTTTGGAAGAAGGACAGTGGGTATATTTTTTTTAAGTGACAGTTGTTTGACACAACAAGTGAGTCGAATTTGTTTATCACCAGTCTATATTTTCCTGTGGTGTGTAAGGCTGAGTACATGTGGAGGACTATGCCTGAGATGTCTGCAATTTGGCATCCGTGAATTAAAGGATTTTGTTTTGTTGTTGTTACCTCTTTGGGCTCAGTTCACTATTGTGAAGTGGAGATGATCATGTCATGTTCTTGCACAAAACCTGGTAAAAATAAATGGAGTCGAGTGCCAACTGAAAGGCAAAGAAGAAAATTGTTGGTTTCATTTTCAGAATTTGAATGGTGTATGAGTAATAAGAGATATGCCAAGCCTAGAACAAAATATTGAATAGCTACCTGCTAAGAGAGCATCATTCACTCTGTGAACTGAATAAGACTAAGCCCTCTGGGGAAACATAATATGTGATTGAGCAGTGAGTAATTGTACTATTATTCATGGGATAAATTATGTGATAACATTTGAGTGTTTGACTGCATAACCTTAACAGTATCTCTGTCCAGCAGACTTTTGTTTTTATGGAATATGGAAAAGATTTGTGTATATACAACGACACGTGCATATTTTTGCCTTTATGACTTTTTTTATGATACCCTGTTATGTTTTGACTCTATGAAGAAAAGGTATTTTTCCCAATGCCTTCTTTCATTGTTTTATAGCACATACATTTTTTGTGTTTGTTTATTTTTTCCTTTAACAACTGTGCTGTGAACTGTTGATAAGCTTTATTGAAGCACAACTGTGTAAGAAATTAAAGAAAGGGGGACGCGACCTATCTTACTGCTTCAAATTCTATACTATTGCAGTAAGAGAGAAGCGCTCTTTTGCCATTTTTGTCATTGAAGTTATATGTTGGCAAGGCCTGTGAGTCTGCATTATTTCTTTGCGTTTACATGAGAAGTGTGACAGGTGACACTTGCTTTGACTGGTGAATTAGTATAAGTGATGTAATAATAGAATCATTTGTTACAGTACAGAATCATAGCATCGTTTAGGTTGGAACAGACCTTTAAGATCATCAAGTCCAACCGTCAACCTAGCGCTGCAAAGTCTACCACTAACCCATGTCCCTAAATGCCACATCTGCACATCTTTTAAGTACCTCCAGGGATGATGACTCAACCACTTCCCTGGGCAGCCTGTTCCAATGCTCGACAAACCTTTCAGTGATGAAATTTTTCCTAGTATCCAATTTAAACCTCCCCTGGCACAACTTGAGACTGTTTCCTCTTGTCCTGTCACTTGTTACTTTGGAAAAGAGACTGACATCCACCTCGCTACAACCTCCTTTCAGGTGGTAATTGCAGATAAGGTCTCTCCTGAGTCTACTTTTCAGATCTTAAAGTTGTCTTTTGGGATAGGCAGATCAGCACTGTACCCAGTGTTCAAGATATGGGATTCTTCACTGAGATATTTAGTGAAATACTAATATTTTATAGATTATTCTGTATTCATCTGAGTAGTAGTCTGTATGCCTCTTTCACTTGTTTCCAACTTATATCCAACTAATATTCATGCTTTCAAAAGATATGCCCGCTAATGTTTTTTCTGAGTTATTTCAAGACTAACGTGCAGGTAGGCTTGGTTCCCAAATGTACCTTATTTCACATTTACCAATATTGAATTTCACCTTTTTTGGCTGTTTAGCCGGTATTATGAGATCTTTCTGCAGCTCTTCCTAATCAGCTTAATTATGATGAGTATTTCTGTATCTTCAGCAAGTACTGTAAAGTCAGTATTCAATATGTGGGATTTTCTTGGTCTCCCACCACTATTAATAATCTTTTTCCCTACCATTTGATCAGTTATTAAACAATTGAAGGAGCTTTTGCCTTGTGATAGCTTAATTTGTTTAGAAGTCCTTTAAGAAAACCATCATTGACAGCTTTTGTAGGGACACAAATGTATTGTATCAATCAGGGACCCTTATCCTAATTGTCCCTGCCAAATTGTGGCAGAGCTCTGATTTCATTCTACAAAATAACTGCCTTGCTTCTTCTTCCTCTACTGTATTTACCCATGTTGCTGTTACTGCTGTTCCTTATTGTAGTTTCAATATGTTTGTCCTTACAAAGTTCTAACCGTATTGATATGCCATACTTTGACAACTTGTACAGTCCTTTGTCTTTTTTAACGATGTATTTTCTACCATCTTCCATTCTGCTGTTAGAGGGGCAGATTTCAGCTATACTTCAGTTCCCTGGGAACAATTAGGTGAATACCACCTAGTCCTGACAATTTGCTACCACTTTACAGATGACTTCTGTAATCCTTTATACTGACACTTCAATTTAACACAGTTCCTCAGATTTATCTGCCATAAAGAACAGCTTTGATGTAGGACCTTTCCTAACATTTTTCTTTAGTGAGCAGTGAGGCAATGAATTAATTTACCGTTTCTACAATAACCTTGTCTCCTTGCATGTTTCCTTTATCCCTTGATCATCCTCTGGCCTTATATATTCACTGGCAGTCCCCCTCCTCCTGCTTCTCTGCTTCTGATGTGCTTGAAAAAGATCTGTGTACCTGTTCATACCTATTTCAGTGCAGCTGTTCATAGAATCATAGAATCACGGGATCATAGAACAGTTAAGTACCATTTTGAATTAAAAGTCATTGTCTAATAATGAGTATGTTCTCCCCTTCAAGTAAGATGTAAAGAGCTAATAATAAACAAGCCATACATCTCTTGCTGCATTTCAAAGCAGAAATTAGAGTGACATATATTCCTGAAAGTTTTACTTTTGTCTAAGAAGGAAAAATATCTTAAATAACAAAATATTCTTCATGCATTGTAAACAAGATAAAAAAAAGAAAAAAGAAAATCCACAGGCACATTTTTAAAGTTTGCTTTTGGCTTACTTGCATCCTTAATTGAAGAGGAGTACCTCTCCAACTGTCCAGGTCTGCCAGATGCAATTGTTAGGGTCTACAGTTTGTGCATCATTGTTGTGGTTGTGTGTTCAACTTTTGAATTAGATATTTAAGCAGCAATTTTTAGGTGGTTGTCCATACAGTCTTAGTACTTTTCTGTCTGATAAGTGTTTTAAGGAAACATGCACAAATATGCACAGATTGTGGCCATTTATTCAGAACTCTGGTCCTAAAAGTTCAGAAGGTAAAGATTGTAACCAGCTGTAACTATGTCTCAAATGGACTTTACAATGAAAAACTTCGTTCTGGAGGTTACCGGGTGGCTGTCTAAACCTCTTTAGATGAACTACCAGTGCATCTAAAGGAATAACTGCTTGAGAAAAATTTGATACAAGAGTGGTCACTTTGAGATATTTCTGGAAGAAACATCAGTAATTCAGGAATAGTGCATAAGTTTTCTTTTCATGTGTGACAATTCTGTAACATTTATTGGTCATCTTTTAATATCACTTCTACCAAACATAAATATGTGCATGTAAAGGACTAACTTCATGTGCCAAGTTAGCACTAGCACCTGCCCTGTTTGTGTGCCAGTGTCCTCATTTTGCTCACCCCACTGTATTTTCTGTGTGTACGTGTTCTGAAGAAATTATTTATATGGATTTATATGAACTTTGTACGTCCAACTCCTTTGCTATTTTGCATGTAGAAATCCTGCTGAGCTCTGTGCAAGTGAAATGAGTAGAGGGCTTTCACCATTTGGACACTGTTGTAAGTAGAGCCCTGCTTCGTGGTGTCTTTGAGAGAGTTTATCTTAACACAGATTCTCTCTCATATTTGAAAAGAAGTCTGCTTTAAAGAACTTCAAGTTCTATAAAGAGATCTTGAAATACAGTACCTTGAAATGACTTTTGTCATATGTCAAAAAAGAAAAGCTTCCCTCCACCCCCTGCATTATCATACATTAGCTTCTGAAGTGAATTAAAAAGTAGGGAATGTATTATCAGAGTCTGGTTAGATGGAAGTAGAGACAAGTTTCTACAGACATTGCGTTTATGGAGGCTCAGTTTTACTCCCCCTTTCTGTTGGATTTCTTACATAGATGCTTCCTCCAGCATATTTTTCTTTTGTACTGCGCACTTCAAGTATATGTAAAGACAAATCATTGTGGTAAAGAGATCCCTACCTGTTCAGGAATGTTTAATTTCTTTCCTAAAGAAGATGATAATTTTCTAAGCTTTTCCTTCATCTCTGTCCTTCTGGAGGTTGGTGTCTTGGAACAGGCAATGCTGGATGCTTTAGTGATGGATCGTGTTGATTTTGTAAAGCTGTTAATAGAGCATGGAGTGAACATGCACCGTTTTCTTACTATATCTCGTTTGGAAGAACTCTACAATACAGTGAGTATTTGAAATTCCAGTCTACGACTTTTGATAAGATTGCCGAGAAAAAATACAGTTTTGCTTAAGAGATTTGGTAATTAGGCCACATTTTTATGAAGGATTTTTGAAAAAAAAAAGAAGAAAATTAATGGAGTTTGACAATTTTTGATTGTACTATTGGCTTTTTGGATTGATGTCACAGCTTTTTATTTTTGATTCATTGACATGAACCTGTCTGAGTACTCACCTGAAGCTCATGAGAAATATGTTCTGATTTTAATCTGGTATGTTATCTGTCATGCTTATCTTGCTGAAAATGGTATGTTGTTTAACCAAAGTGATACCAACTTCTTGCTAGAATATGTCAAGATTTAAGGTAGTAGAAGTGTTGCAGATCAGTGCTGAAATGTTTTTGAAAAAGTTTGTAAGGAGAGTTTGAGTGGGGAGAGTTTGAATCACAATAGCTTAACCCAAAGGTCTTTTAGCTGCTTTCTTTTACTGTATTGTTTTTCTAATGCAGTGATGTTTGTTTACTGTCTTTTCTTTTCACACAACAGAAACAAGGACCAACTAATCTACTTTTGCATCACCTGGTTCGAGATGTGAAACAGGTAATAGGCATAGGAAAGGCTGGGGAGCAAAAATGGTAGCTTAGAACTTGAGTGTCCACTGGCACACTGCTATTTAGGTAATAAAGGGGAATTTTAGGAGTAGAAGCAGTGGGTTCATTACTACACTCCTGTATCTACTATATGGTTTTATCTTCATCCCACTGATCCCCCTAAGCAATTAACGAGCATACTACTACTGAATGCTCCCAAGGGTCCTGTACCTTAATTTCAAAGCCAAGCAGCTTGTGTAGATCAGATTCTTTTTCTCAAGTTACTGAAGTGAAACTATGAAGTGAATGTACAAAAGACTTAGAGAATTAGTGCAGTAATTATGCTTTTTGCTTTAAGGTTTTCTTTTTTCCCCAAAGCTAAAAAAGTCTCCTGGTTGAGAGTAACAAAAAGATACTGTGACAAGGTATGATATTAACGTGCTGTATTGCCTAGGAGAACAGAAGGTGGCAGTGGATGACTGCTGTGTGGAGCACTGGCTCCATTAGTAGTTTAGTGGCAGCCTTGTTATTTGGCTATACAGTTAATTTGTTGTTTCTTTTATCTATTGTACCTCACAGCACTGCTTAGCTCAGAAGGGATGAGCTGTTCTTTCTGCATCTATTCTCCACTGCAGGAGATGCCTAGATCCAAAACTAGATTAATTGACTAATTATTTCCAGGTTATGAATGCTAAGATAAAATAAAATGGTAAGTCTGACTGTTTGCAGAGTTCTATGGTCTCAAGTAGTGGCATTTCTGGTGTGATTTTCTTACTGTGGGTGACTTGCATGTCAATCCCATTGATGGCTCTGTAGATAGGTATTGGGTATTCTGGTCTCCATAGTCAGCTATTTTCTGTGTTTTCCCATACTGACGAACATATTTGAGGTCTAATTTGTGATAGTTCTGGAAGATCTGAATGTTGAAAATACATCAAACTTTTCCAGGCTGAGAAATCTGTCTTTCTCGCTGATACTGAAGTGATTTGCTACTGAATAGGACACTTCTCCTAAAACCTATGGCCTGGTTACATCTCAGGACATTCTGGGAAAACTCAGGGTGTGATCTAAAGGGAAGCTTTTGGTATTTGAAATGCAGTAGTGGAATTTAGGTAGAAAATGCTTGCACAATTTCAAAACTTTCTGTGCTGTTGTGTAAGCTAAACTCACTTGGGACCTGCAAACAGGTCTAAACGCTGAAATCCCTTTTTCATCTGAGCTTCTGTAAGTATGTGTAAGTGCTCTGTGAATGGGTTGTGCTGTTGCAATTATTAAATATGGTAACATAGTAACAAGGACAATCACCACAGTGGTGTGACCATTGAGTTCAGAATATGTTCTCCATTAGTGTGAGCAGCTTTGCTGCTGCTACATTTGAGTGGAGATACTTTGCAGTCTGCCCTGATATCATAAAATACACTTTTAGTGCAGAGAAGTATCTACAGTTATAGGTAGTCAGAAATACTTGCATAAGTCTCAATAACAGAGCTGGCAAGCTCTATCCTGTGAGACGTGCTTTTTGCCCCAGGGTGCTCAGCATGTTGGTGGTGCCTTCTGTTTGCAGGGCTGCGTGGCCTTAGCTGTCTGTACTGAGGCTTGCAGCTAAAGTCTATAGGAAAAAAACCCTCAGTCTAATGAAGAGAGTTACTTTTCACAGTCTGAAAGGCATACACTACTAGGGATATGTCATGCCTCTGATCCCATCTATGCTCAGGCCCGTTTTTCACTTCCAAGAGTTGTGGTTTAAGGTTTTACCAATAATCTTTAAAATCTTCATGCAAGATCATCTGTTTGTCAGAGAATTTGTCACAAACCTTGTGTCTTGGAAGGACAGTGGAGGTAAACTGGGAAGTAGTGATGCTTTAAACAGAAGTGGTGACAGACTCAGAAGGTAAAGCCAATGCATGTGCAGCTGCTGTCCTAGTTGTCATGACAGTCTTGTGCCTCTACAAAAGGTTACCAGTCTCCAGGTATTAATCTACAACATTAAATAAATGCTTCAATGACTTCTTCATATTTAATTAATGAACCAGTTTAATGAGCATATCATACCATGCTGGTATTCTCTTGTTATGAGAAGATTTTTATCAGTCTCTCTGGCTAATGGTGATTAACCTGAAGAACCATTACCCTCATTGTTGAATGCAGCTGGTCTTGTGAATATTAGAATAGATGTCCGTATGCATTGTGGGTGCAGTAGACTGTAGACATCACACTTTTTAGGCTGAAAATGTGGATATGCCTGTGTTCTTCCTTCCTATGGGGTTTTCATATGCCTCATGAAGGTGTATGCTTGCCTGACAGATGCAAGAGCTCTCAGTTGCACTTTCTTCCAGACTCCCCTTGTAGTAGTAGGGCTCTGACATGGTTGAATGTTGCATATAATAGCATCATGAAATGCTTATGACATTTGGTGTTTCAGAATACCCTTTCCTTGGATTACAAGATATCACTGATTGATATTGGGCTGGTGATAGAGTACCTCCTTGGTGGAGCTTATCGAAGCAGCTACACAAGGAAGCATTTTCGAATTCTCTACAATGATCTCTACAGAAAACACAAGGTAACCTTTGTGAAATGGCTACTAGTGGTCACCAAGAAAAGTCAAAATATGACACCTGAAAATAGCTGAGGTTGTCATTGTGGTTTGTCTAAAGAGTATCGGTTAAATGTATGCCATGCTTGTCTGTTTTATGAATCTCTTTGCCAACTGTGGAGACAATGCAAATAAAACAGACAAATCCCTCCCCAAAATACTCCCTGCCCCCCAAGACCACCCGTGATTATTAAATCAACAGTTCAGTAAATTTACCTTTGTGTCCTGGGTTGTGTTCTTTGTCTGTCATCCATCAATAAAGATTGACAAGGCTGTACCAACCACCATTTTCCCTTTTGTGAAGCAGTTTCATGTTTCAGCTCTTGCGACTTGAACCGTATCACAGAAGTACTGAATTCAACAGGCATTGAACTAGACTTAGAGCATGTCAGCACGGCATAGTGAAGAGCAGCATGGACATCCTTGACCCAAGTTTTGGGTAAATGCCTTACCTGTTAGAAGTAGCTCAGTGCTAGTGGTGCATCTTCCTGCCCAGGCATCGTGGTTTAACCCCAGCTGGCAGCTAAGCACCACACAGCTGCTTGCTCACTCCCTGTCCCCGGTGGGATGGAGGAGAGAATCAGAATAGTAAAACTGAGAAAACTTGTGGGTTGAGATAAAGGCAGTTTAGTAAGTAAAGCAAAAGCTGCATCTGCAAGCAAAGCAAAGTGAGGAACTCGTTCACCACTTCCCATCAGCAGACAGGTGTTCAGCCATCTGCAGGGCTCCATCACATGTAATGTTTGCTTGGGAAGACAAACACCATCACTCCCAATGTCCCGCCCTTTCTTCTTCCCCCAGCTTTATATGGTAAGCGTGGTCTGGGATGTCCCTCTGATCAGTTGGGGTCAGCTGTCCCAGCAGTGTCCCCTCCCAACTTCTTGTGCACCCACAGCCTACTCGCTGCCGGGGCGATGTGAGAAGAAGGAAAGGCCTTGACCCAGTATAAGAAAGCAGGAACAAAATCATCCCTGAATTGTCAGCACTGTTTTCAGCACAAACCCAAAACATAGACCCATACTAGCTACTATAAAGAAAACTAACTCTACTCCAGCCAAAACCAGCACACCAGGCCATTGAGCTCTGTTAGCCTGGCAGAGCTTTTTCCGTGATGCACTGGTCATTACAGGGGAAGTCTCGTGCTGGATGTGCCAGACTGCAGCAGTGGTGCAGTGGCTTTGTGCAGCCAGAGGGTTGTGCTTGGACACGCGTGCCATTCTGCACCTTCTAGATGCTTAAGGTGTTTCACTGTACGGCATAGCATTGTGCCACGTCTGCATGTCAGTAGCATCGCCTCTACAAACAAACAAACTGCCTCAGAACAACAGTGTGCAAACATACAAGCACTTTCATTTTCCCCTTTGACTTTCTAAAACCAATAACTTGAAAACAGCCTAAACTCCTTGATAAATTAGTGGAATATCATTCTTAACATCACAGAAGGAGCAGATTTACCACATAAGAATTCTCCCCGATTTTCGGAGTAGAACTGGACTTTCCTTAAAGTACTTCCATATGTTAAAAAAACAAACAACAAAATCCTCTCATCCCCATGTACTGCTTTCATGACTAATAGAAGAACCCCAGGGTGGTCAGGGAAAATGAGAAGAAATAATGAAAACTCGGAGTGAATAGAAACAGAGACAGAGCTTCCTGTCTTAATGGCTTAAATCAATGCTTAAAAAGAGATATTTGAGCAGTTTTAACATCATCATGTAAGTAGGAACTTCAGGGAAGAGTATTAGTGATTCAGCTGGTAACATTCTTCCCTCTCAGTCAACACTGAAGAAAATGCCCAAGAGTGCTAGACATGCCATCCTTTGGAGGAAATGGTCAGCAAGAAGTTCAGAGAACTTCCATCTTTCAAAGGGTTTATGGCACTTTTTTTAAGGGTAGGAAAAGGAAGAGCTTCCAGGTTGGGTGATTCCAATCTGGTGAAAGCCCTGTTGTTATGATTGATGGATGCTATTGGGAAAATCAGTGTTTTGAATTTAGAAATTCAGAAAAATGTATCTTCTTAAAATTGTATGTGAAACAGGCTATTTTTTTCCTTGATGGTGTAAGCTCCAGTGGTAGTTATAGCAATTGCTGAGTCACTAGTCTTTGAATAACATCAGTTTCTACAGGCACCATTGCAATCGGGGATAAGTACAGGCAAACTTCATCTCTAATTTGCATTTCTCTTCTTGTGTTTTATGGTATGTTTTTGGATCTAGAGAGTGCTCTCCAGCTTTTCTCAGAGCCTGTCTCATTCCCTTCATCAGAGTAATCAGACGGGTAGCAGAATGGGATCTGCTGAAAGTACTTTGCATTCTCAGTTCTTCAGAACAGCACAGCCTTACAAATACAAGGTAATATAATTGCTTGCTCTAGACTTTGCTTAGGCCATATTAGGCTCCTAATAATTTTATTGATTTATTTATTTTATTTTAGACAAACATTGGCCAGGCTGTTAGTTATCATAATTCTACTTAAATTCCAGTGGAAGCAATGTTTGACTGCTCACTGTTCATGAAATAAAGTCTTGCAGTGTTGATGTTGAAGTCAAGCTCAGACTCCTGTGATACTTTTTAACTTCCATCCATTTGTGGCTAAGGGCTTTTGTTCACTGAAGCGTAGTACCACCAAATTTCTGAACATCAAGCATGGGTGAAAACTCTTCTTATTTGGAAGCGACTCTGGCTTTCCTGATGTTCTCTTATGATTGCTTATTAAAGTAGCTATAGTAAGCCTGCTAAGAAGAGATATAGTTCTGGCATCTGGAAAATGATGACAGAGTATTTTCTTTCAAAGAAAGAATGATAAAAGAGCAAAGATTGCTACATACCTATATCTGACAGAAAAAATATAAAGTAGAATGAATTTAAATTGCTTTATTGGAATTAATCTGAGCCAAAACGAACGCATTATAGCACTGAGACAACCTCACTTATACCCCTAAGACTTTTTGTTTGCTTTTAAAGGAGAAATATCCAGACTCGAATGTATAGAAGTTTACATTAAAAATGATGTTTAAGTATCACAAGTCCATGTTGCATATTTCAGTCAACTGGCTGCTTTTTCTCCTTTCATGACACAAATACAAGAAAAGAGTGAAAGTAGGATCTTGGTATCACAAGGTTTGGAGACTGTCCAACACTATGGAAGGGGAGGCTATAAATGGAATGGGTACAGAGTGAGGAGTGTTTTTCCTCCACTAACGTTACTAGCTTCTTGCCATTGGTAATCTAAATGTGGTCCTTACTGTAGTTTATGACTTAAATGTATATAATGACCAAACAGTTTGCTATTTGCAATTCAGATTTGCATGCAGTTTTATTTCCCTGAATCTGAACCTCAACTATTCATTAAGATATATATTTTTTTTTTTTTTAAAAAATTTATAGGAAAGATCCACTGCTTTCCATAAGTATAAGAAGAAATCAAAAGAGGATATAAACTTTGCAGAGAACTATGAATCATCTGGCTTTATCTACCCCTATAATGACCTCCTGGTTTGGGCAGTATTAATGAAAAGGCAGAAGATGGCAATGTTCTTCTGGCAGCATGGAGAGGAAGCCATGGTCAAAGCTGTTGTGGCCTGTAAACTCTACAGGGCGATGGCACGTGAAGCTAAACAGAGCAACATGGTGGATGACACTTCAGAAGAACTCAAGAAATACTCAAAGTATGAGTTATCCCTTTGCTTCTGTTAATAAAGTTCTGCAGTTCTTAGAATGGTTAGATAATTTCCTAATCCGCTGTTTATAAGATTAGTGTTGCCAAGGACTATGAAGTGTGAAAGAAATACATTCAGCTGTGCACTGTTCATCTTGTATAATGGAGCTATGTATTGGTGTGCAGTCTTGTTGAGAGTTAAAGGAAAGCATGTTGTCTAGAGGTATATTTGAAAATTGAAATACGGGTGAGTAATGCATGGCTCACTATCTTCTAAATGGTCAAGTGGGAGACTGAAATTTCCCTTATGGCTTCCCTTCCAGTTCAACTTGTTAAAAAGCCATATGACACATATGCGTTGGACTTTTCAAATCTGTAACATGTGGTAATGAGCAGACTAAAATCAGTGCTTAAATCCTCCTCTGTGTAAGACCTAGAGAAAAACGTATGCTGAAATAACTGAGTGACTAAAAAATGAAGTAGACCAAGAATTTTCTTTAAGTTTGTAGTTTCATGTTAGTGTTTTCTGGTAGTTTTTCTTGTTAATGACATGTTGCATGCTTTGTAGACATCATGCTTCAGATTCAAAGTGCAATAAGATGTGCTGTCTTGTTTTGCATGCAGCTTCAAAGCTTAAAGGAAGGTGTATCTTCCTTGAGGTGTCTTGGGTCAAGCAATGAGGTGTTTAAAAGCCAGTGTAAAAGAGGCTTGTGCAACTTCCCACAGTGCTTACCCACAGGGGTGATGAGTCTGTTGTTGATGGAAATGCACACAACTTCATAGGGTCCACTGAGTGAGATTAAGAACAAAAAAAAAAAAAACCAGAAAACGGGATGACCCTAAACCTTGTGATTAGGATAAAATAGTTAGATTTACTCACTAAATTATTTTTCACTAGATATATTGATAAGGCAACAGGAAAAATGGGAGAAGACGTACTTACTGAGATTGTTAGCTGAACTTTACTTAATGGAGTTTGCAAACCAACCTCTTTGCAGCAGTGATTCTGAGTTTTGACTGATCTCTGTTATATTGACTGTTAATTCCTTTCTGCTCTAGGGAATTTGGGCAGCTTGCCTTAGATGTGCTGGAGAAAGCATTCAAACAAAATGAGCAGATGGCCATGAAGTTGCTGACCTATGAACTGAAAAACTGGAGCAACTCAACTTGCTTAAAACTAGCAGTGTCTGTGGGGCTACGGCCTTTTGTATCCCATACTTGCACACAGATGCTGCTGACTGATATGTGGATGGGACGCCTAAAGATGCGGAAGAACTCTTGGTTTAAGGTAACGTCACTTTAGCTTTCTCTGAGCATGTAGATGCTGTTTAGATGATTTATACATATCTTTGTGGTTGTCAGCATGTCTAATGCAGCTTCAGACAGATGTGCTTAAGCGTGGATTGGAATGTGCACATCTGGGAGAGAAAAGAAAGGCGGGGAGGGAAGATGGTACTTGCTTTTGTTTTACTTCTTTACAAAAGCAGCTGTGGGATGACATTAGGGGAATGCATTTTGTGAGGGTTTTTTTGCTGTTCCCATTCTCTCAGCACCCTTCAGTCCCTACGCACCTGCTCTCACTGCTCTGCGTTGCTGGTTCTTAGGCAGAGCTGCTGATGGAGGAATGGCCTCTGGACGTAGGGAGCGATATCTAAAGTGTTCCCAGATACCACAACGCTCTTCAAAGCCACAAAGCAGTCAAGAGCAACACACTTCTTCAGAGGCTGTAGGACTGTGATATAGAGATTCACTGCACCAGTGGCTCCCTCCCAGGCCAGTGGAATTGCATTGGGTTTGTGCTGGCACCACGCGTGGCTGACTACAGCCTCAGGTCTATGCTATCACTGTTGAATTAATTTCCTGAATCTTGTGTCTCTCTTTTAGGTCATTATGAGTATTCTCCTGCCTCCCACCATCTTGATGCTGGAGTTTAAAAGCAAGGCAGAAATGTCTCATGTGCCTCAGTCTCAAGACTTCCACCAGTTCACATGGTATCATGGAGATCAGAGCCCAACCATCTCTAAAGATGCCTTGTCTCTGGTTAGTCTGCAATGACTAGTCATTTGTGTGTCAGGGTCTGTCTGTTTAATCAGTATAACCATGAGTAGGGAGGAGATGGTGATCAGCTGGAAGTGTCAGGGTCCAGTTCTCAAGAAGTAGGCATTTGATTCCTGGTTTGGTTGCAGACTAAAGTGACCTTGGACAAGTCACTTCATCTGTCCTGGGTGTCACTTCTGTACTGGTTGTAATGAGAAAATCCTTCCCAACCTCACGGAAGTATAATGAGATTATAATTATCTGTCCATTACGCGGGTATTTTAGGGCACAAAGAATATTCAAGCTGCAGATAAATACCTATGTAATCTTATATACATATATACATTTATATATATATATGTAAAATCTAAGAATTGCATCATCACAAAATCACATCATAAAACTCAATTCAGGTTGCCCAGTCGAGCTGTCCAAAGCAGGGAAGCAGCAGAAATGAGTCAGTACAGGTCCTGTCCTCTCCAGCTTGCTCTTTCCTTCTTCTCTGCCTGACCAGCAGCCTCTGCCCTGCATCTCAGCCACAGCCTCTCCCCCTCTCTATTGCCATCCTTATCTCTTGTTCTCTGCTTGAGGTTTTGTTTCCTGAATTACGTCATAGCCCTTCCATAGGTCCAGCTCCTGCAATCCTTGTTGAAAAACAGGATATCTGTACTTCTGCATCGTTTGAGCCTAGCAGAGATGCCATTTAAAGTACAATTTAAAGGCATGATGCTTTTGGTTTAGTCACTTGAACTGAGTCCTGAAATACTCTGCAGGGACCTGTGGTAGTGCAAAAGTCATTCTTAGGCCTGTCTGTGGGAGCCTTCAGCATAGGTAAATGCAGCCATTGCCTTTTAAGATCTGAATTCCCCGAGACGTCTGCTGACCAGAATTGCCAGCCCTTTCTTTTTCTCATTCTACACAAAGCATTGCTTGAACTGAAAATTTCCAAAAGTTTTCAGTCTAAGGTAGACAGCAGACATGGAAAATGAAAAATCCAATGAAAACTGGATTGTCAAGTGAGACCTGTCAGGCAATAGTTTTTGCTGTGCTCTGCTTATCTTACAGCAGATAAGCATTGTAGATTGCTTGGGACCTTCTCAGTTAACTTCCAAATTGTGTAAAATAAAGGAGAGCAAATTGTTGAGGGCTTTCACAGCAGCATGGTAGGCCTGTCAGTGGTACACTTGTGTTTTCTCTGTGATGCAGAAAAATGCTTGAAGCCATCATCTCCTGCAGTGCCTGTCTAATATAGTCAGTAAAAAATGCTTTTTATGAGGTTAGGTGACAGCTATGCTACAGAGGACAGGCCAATTGAAATTTTTTTTGCAGCAGGATCACCCCTGCAGTCTGGTAGAAGGCAACACAGAAATGTGAGTAAGCCCTTTTCTGACCTGCCTCAGACAGGGTCGCGTCCTTCCTGCGCTAGCAATAAGCTTAACTTCTGATTTTATCAAATATAGTGTTGTTTAAAACAAAAGGCGGAGCTACTGCTTTTTCTTAAATATTCTGATACAGAAAAATGTACAGAAAATTCCAACAGTGTAGATGTGCCATATAGAGCACCTTTCACACAGAGTCGTAAATTCCAGTGACCTGCTGCAGCTGGAAATTGCACTCTTTCATGGGACAAATTCTCTCCTTCACCTTGGAGGATCTGATACTAACATGTTGGGATGATTCTGTGCATCAAATTCTCTGGTTTAGCACTTCTGAGCCTAATATGATGAAAAAAAACAGTTTTCCCCTGATAACCCAAGGAAATGTTGTGTAGTAGGGATAGATATGTAGTGTAAGAAGTGCTATACCGCAGATGTCTAGTAGCGGTAAGTTTTAGCTTTGATATTAGCCAAGGCAATTGGCCAGCCTTGAAACAAAACTGGCTATGGTAGTTTGGTTCCCTTAGCCTTGCCCAACTATTACCTATTTATGTTTCCCCCAGGCCCCTCTCCTTCATGTCTGAAAACTCCTTTCAGCATCCTTTGGTTTTGTCAGTTGCTCACTGCTATGTGTCTGCAGCTCTTCTTAGGCTTCAGAGGCAATCAGATATCTGTACTTTCAGAGGGGTACTCGGACAAGTGTCAAACTGTGGGTACAGAAGCAAATGTATTTGCTTTTCCATTTTTTGTTTTCATTTTACTGAGGATAATAAAGAGGTTACCTGTATTTTTTGTAGGCAGATCTTTGTAAGAGAGTGCTTATTTCATCCTCATCTTCTAATCAGGTGTACAATACATTAAAAATAGCAATTAGATTAGGTATTTAGAATCACCATCTTGGTGGTTTTTGTGCTACTGTATACATGAGTGGAAATGCAATGCTCATCCTCTTATTTCAGAATGTGCCATAGTCATCAGTGGAGTTCTGGCTAACACAGTTATGTTGTATTGGGAGGTGTTATTTATCTGTATTTGGCAGATGGGAAAAGTGAGACACAGAGTGATTAAGTGACTTTGCTTAAAGACTTAAAGAAATGTGTGGGAGAAACAGGAGTGGATTCAAGTCTGCTGACACCTAGTCCACTGCCTGTAGTCATAAGGGCAGACTCCGAATCAGTATTTATAGTGGAAAAGTGTGCATGTTAATTATTGCAAATGAGGTGGTTGTAACCAGACAAAATTAAGCTACAGTAATTGTTTGTGTATTCAGAAAAAAGTTTAAACATCTGTGCCTGTCTTCCCTCTAACATGACACAACCTTTGCAGTCATAGACTATGGTTTCTTACTTTTAAAACGCTGTTTCCTTTTAAAGAAGGATTATGATGTGGAGAAGGTTGCTCAGAAGTCTGATGAAAGCCGAGCAGATGGTGGACAAGGAAACCTGCCTGGCACTAGGAAAATCTATGAGTTCTACAATGCACCAATTGTCAAGTTCTGGTTTCACACGGTTGGTCATCACATTGGAACTCGGATTGTCAAAACCCTCCCTTGATCCTTCAAATACCACTTGATGTTGCTTTTACTTTGCCTAGCATGGATTTGCAGCCAGTTGGTGGTCAGGGTGAATGGCAAGACATTTGAATATTTCTTTCACAATTAAGTGAAAAGTTTTTCTGTTAAAATCATGCAGCTGCATTTAAAACAAACTAAACCAAGCCAAAAAAGAACAAACCCCCAATTATAAGGAACTAAAGAAAATTCCAAGCACAGCTTTTTACAGTGGTTGATCGCACATATAGAGATAGATTTGGAGCTGGCCTTAAGTACCTTAAATACCTCACAGATATTCGTGTCCCTTTCTTTAGGAACTCTTTCTGAAGGAATGAATATTAGTCTATAGGAGATCAGTTGCTATAGAGAAATATGCATTTATAAATCAATTTTAGTAACTAAGCCTGTGCCAGTAAACCTTAGGATGTTTAAGATCAGGCTGCCTCTTGGGTCAGACCACCATGTAGATAAACTGTAACTCCTTTAACAGAGTGTGGTTAACTGCTTTATACATTATTAATCTATTGTCTCAGATACATTTATAGTGTGTTCTGGTACCTTTAAAATAGTGCTTTCTACCTGATAATTGTTCTTGCTGTGTTTTGGAAGGCACTGACTAACCAGCATTGATTCACATAGCTTTGAGGATGGTTACTTGCTCCTACAGGAGGCTAGGATAAAAGCATAACACTGCCTTTCAAGTAACTGTGTGCAGAAAAAGATAGTCTGTCTCATATATGAGTTTGGGGCCTAGGGGAACATGTGCTGCATTAGTTCCTCTTCTGCTCCCATTTTTTCAGCACTAAAATACTAATTTCCTAATGATGTTTAAGGATATTCCCACAGAAAATACTTTGGAGATCTGGAGGAAAGATTTTGGGCTCAAAAATCTGACAGTGCCCCATTAGTTTGAATATATATAGTCAGGCTAATCACCTGTCAACATGTTTGCAGAAATTTGTTGGAGATTTTTGTGCATATGGCTTTTACACTGTGTATTTTGTAGATGGCGTACATGGTGTTTCTCATGCTCTTCACTTACACCGTGTTGGTGAAGATGGAACCAAGGCCTAGTGTGCAAGAGTGGCTTGTTATCATTTATATTTTCAGCACTGCTATTGAAAAAGTCAGGGAGGTAAGTTTTTCCATTCATACTTCTCATCTGTAGAGGATGTATTATAAACCAGAGAATACCATAAATTGAAGAATGCCAAATCCTGCATTCTTTTTGTAGAGAATTTAGCAGAGGAAATAATTATACAGGGGATTTATTTCTGAGAAGTCTTTTATTTGAAGACCAGTACTTGGGCTTTGAAAATGCATTCAAGTTTGTCCTTGAATCTCTATTTTTCTGAGTAAAGCCTGTGGTAATGTGCAGGTCACTTGAGAATGATTGTGCTGGATTGAGATTTGGAGCCCTGATGTAGGCACCTGTTTCTTAATTTTTTTGAGTGGACCGTTAGATTTCTTATAACAAATATGGAATTTGTCTTTAGATATTTACTTTTAGTGTGGACATTGTTACCAATTGATAGGAGTTATGTGTAGAATAATCTATGGCTCTCCATCAAGTCTAACTGACCTTCTCTAAATGAAACTGGGAAAAAAATTCACTGTCAACTTTTAATGCTGGATTCATTAAACATGGGAAAATGATATTCCAGTCAAAATTAATTGCAATTATTTGCAGTTGATTAGGTCCAAGATTTTGAACACAACTGGCACTCCAAACCTGAAGTCGGGGGACAAATGCAGTTATGTATTTCCCAAATTATTGTATGTGATCAGATATATCTTCACTATAGAATCGACACATAGTAAACAATAGTAGTGTGAATTGTCTTTTATAGGAAATTTGAAATGCTGTACTTTAGAAGAATAAAACTGAAAAAAAGCAGTCACAGTTCTGAGTGAAGGATACTGTTACAAATCACTTGGAAGACTGCGACACCAGTACAAGAGAGGTGCAGGATTTCAAGGGGCGGCAGAAGTGCTGGGAATATATTGAAGCTTGGGTAAACATACAAGTTCTAGGGCTGCATGAGATAAAATTGAACAAATCTACACAAGGATTGTCTAATTGTGAAAAAAATTGAATGCGAATTAGCAAACACTTTGGAAATCACTGTTGTGCTGTTGCGTTGTATTGATGGTGGGACAGTGGAAACATCAGCTCTTCTTTCTAGCATTAGCATTCATTTGAGACTTTGAAATTCATGTCTTCTACTTGATTTTCTTTGTCCATGTACTAGTTCCGGTCTGCTGGCAAAGACTTTGTAGGACACTGTGTTCTACACATGTCGGTAATTAACTGCTGAGGGCCTTGTCTTATATAACTGCAAACCTCTATTTCTCTAGATTGTATCAAGTAATAGTTAAAGCCTTAGGCCCTGATCCTGCAACTAGATCCTCATGTGAGTTAGTCCAGCTGAATTGAGAAGGATCACTTGTTTACATTAATGTGTTCATATGGGTAAATTTTTGCAGGATCAGGGTGCAACATTTCAAAAGCTCACCTTTGCTCGGTACTTATCGGTGTGATCTTACATAGCACTGCATAATTGGCCTCACTTGTGCAATGTGCAAAGGTTTTATTTATGGTCTCCCAAAGATTCCACTTCACACATTTGCTCAATGAAGCTTAAAATCCCTTTGGGGCACCTCATAGTTCAAGGAGTGAACATTTCATTCTTTACCTTGGTAGTTGCTAGCACTCCTTTTTTTAGCCTGTCCTTGGTGGAATACAAGGATCTTTCTTTATATTTTCAGTCTGAAATGAAGGCGTTAGTTATTTTCCCATCAGCAAGGTTAGGCTGGTACTTTCCATGACTTAGGGGCTTTTGAAAGGGCTGTTGCAGGTCATGACCATTCCTCTGGAAAATGCTCGTTAATTTATAATGATACGTATGCATAACAGTTCTATACTGGCAGCTCTTTTCTGCTGATGAATGTGCTCTTTAGTGAATGGGTTCAGGCTCAGAATCCATTTTTCTTTATGAAGAGCTGTTCTGTTTGGTGTGGTATACTTGAGCAAAGTGACACTATAGATTACAAACCTCAATTAACAGTGAATGACAATATGCAGTACATGGGCGTGAAAAATAAAAGGAAAAAATTATACATTCCCAAGTGTTATAAAACAGTTCAGACAGAAAAGGTTAAAGAATGTATCTGTGATGTTAATGAAGTTTTGTTGTTTGTTTGTTTGTTTTTTTTTTTCCCCACGTTCTACTCAGGTGTTTATCTCAGAACCTGGAAAATTCCGCCAAAAAGTGAAGGTGTGGATTTATGAATACTGGAATTTTACTGATTCTATAGCTATCATCCTGTTTATGATTGGTTTTGGCTTGCGCTGGTCTGACCCCCCTGTTAAAACTGCAGGGAGGCTACTTTACTGCTTGGATATAATATTTTGGTATGCTCGACTCCTTGATCTTTTTGCTGTGAATCAGCATGCTGGTCCATACCTGACAATGATTGGGAAAATGGTAAGTGTTATGCTTTGGAGCAATATTTTTGTAGTTAAGGCATCTGTTGAAGAATGTGTAAAGGTCAGAAGTTACAGAAAAGAATGGTGGTCAAAGGAGAGGTCACCTAGTAATTCATAGTGAATGTATTACCTGAAAATACTATATCTTTTTCTGTTTGTGAGTTGACCATATTCAGATTTCAGTTCTCTCTAATTTATTCATTATTTGAATTTATTCACAAAAGCCGTTTTTGCTTTGTTCCTTAGAGAAGGGTTGCATTTCAGCTTAGTTTCTGATCCAGCTTGATAACAGGAGAAAGAAAAATCACTATCTCTTGCAGACGGGCTCACTACTATAGATAATTCCCCTAGCTCTTGGAAGCTGTCTCATTATTATTTTACATTTTGATTCAAATAATTATATCCCATTTTAGCAGGCAAAATTTCTCTGAGATCAAAGTTAATTTTTTTCTCTTTTGGTATAAGAACTGCTGCTGAACTGCTGCCTAGTCTTGAGGGACATCTGCAGATTCCCACTGTAATTTCCCTTGGTTATTGGGAACTATCGTATTAATACTTTTACATTCTTTCTTGCATAGTAATTCTGATTCAGTGTTAGAAGGCAAAATAATTTTCACTGCTATTCCTTGCTCTCAATTTGGAGGAAATACCACTGAGGAAAAGCACCATCGTAATGTCTCTGCATTTTTCAAATCTTGCTTAAGATTGTGAGAGGGACTTGAGAGGGAAGTAGGACTTGTGGCCTTTTTTTGGTCCAGGATGACTCTAACCTCTATAAAATACTTGGGTAGTCCAAGTCATAGAAATAAAATATTTTTATTTCCTCCAGCATATTAGATTCTTAGCCTTGTTTTTCTATTCTGATGTGTTAAAGCAGCGATGGATTCTCTTCTGTAAGATGTATGTCTCCTTTACATGTAACTACCACAGCTCATTGTTTCATGCATACCTTCCAGACAGCAAACATGTTCTATATTGTGGTCATGATGGCCATAGTCCTATTGAGTTTTGGAGTGTCACGAAAGGCAATCCTTTCACCAGAGGAGCCTCCTTCTTGGACTCTGGCACGAGATATTGTATTTCAGCCTTACTGGATGATGTTTGGTGAAGTCTATGCTGGAGAAATAGATGGTAGGTAGTTTTCACAACACAATTCAACAAGCTTAAATTTAATATGTTCACAAACATGTCCACTTTGGGCTCCTAGAGTTTTGACTACATATTGAGTCTATTCTTTCTCAAACAATTTTGATTCCAGTATATACATGTCCTTAATGAGTAGTACTGCATGAATAAAGGTGAGAATATTAGTTTCTTTGTTAAAAATAAAGATTAAGCTTTGAAACCTTCTAATTTAGTTTTTCAAATAAAGTATATTGCAAAGCTCAGAGCAAAGCACATAGGAGCTAGTACTAAGCTAGTTCATGGTCAGGGGATCTGGCAGTGAAATGAATTTCCAATTAGGTGAATCCAAAGATGCTGATCTCTTGGAGAAAAGATTACAAAGTTGCCTTAAAGGAAGAAAGAATAAAGAGAAAACAAAAAAGGAAAAAGAAGAAAAAAATTATTTTTCCTCATAGTAAGTGTTATCTGGCATCATTCTTGAACAGATAAACCAGTTGAACATTGGAAAAATATAACCAATCAATGTAAACAGGAAAAATGTTATATCTTGATTATGGCTTTGACCTTGTCTTAGTAAGAGAGAAGAACCTGGCATTCCAGGAGGTATTTCATCATTACAGATGGAAGGCACTGTTATGATGCTAAGTGATAGGCACAAGTAAAACAGTCCCTAAAATAGAAAAATAGGTATGCGAATAGATACAGATATTTAAGATAACGTAGTTCAGCATAGACCGAATTTAAAATGTTGCATCCATTATTCTTGTTGAAACAATCATATGATGGCTATGTATTTTGGTTATATAAGTCAAAATTCTTTTAATGAAAGCACACTGTTAAGCTTGACTGTTTAATCTATTTAATCACTTATTAATGCTAAACCTTTAGAAATTTGACATTTCACGCATAAACCTATGATTTCTCTAACGACTCTTTATGCTGTGGAATATGTTCTGAACTTAGGGCTACTGCCTTATAAATGTAATTTAAAATTTCCTCAAAGGTGTAAAAATTGATTAAAAATTATAAAGACTGAAAAGTATTTATTTTTACAAGTTAAAAACATTAAGAGGGATCCCTTCATTTCTATGCTTTGTTGTTTCATGTCACAAATATTCGTAGTCATATATCCTTTTGCACATGAGTTAATATGATCTTAGTGAAGCTCTAAAGGAGTAACATTCCAGTGCTGGTAAAGCAGCCTTCGTGCTGTATCCTTTCCACATTCAAGTCAGTGAAAGCTTTGCCATTTGCTTTAAGGATCAAAGATTTGGATTTCAGTTTACTTGAGTGTGTGCTATCTCTCAAATACTTTTCAGCTGCATCATTTTTCCCCTTAACAAAAAGTTGGGGTGACTGGCATAAGAACGGATACGTATGACATGATGTGCATAGCTTCTGAATTGCAATGGAAAATAGGGCACAGTAGTATCATGAGGAGGTCTCAGATCTCATTTACATGGAGGTAGACTTTTTAGTTGTAAATATAGTAATGTAACTCTGTGTAAGTAACAAAGGCTGTTGTATGTCTTGGTGGGGCATATGAGGAGCACACACCGTTGTTGTGCTCTGCTCTGATTTCCGGTAACCATGCTCTGTATGTCCTTCACTTTCAGTCTGTGAAACCAATGAAGACTGTCCTCCTGGCTCCTTCCTCACACCGTTCCTCCAAGCTGTCTACCTCTTTGTGCAGTACATCATCATGGTCAACTTGCTTATTGCTTTCTTTAAGTAGGTACCATGGTATATTGCTGCAAAAGCAAAAGCCGCTAAGAGATGTTCTGCCAACACTTCTGCAAAAGCCTTTCACCACAAATGCCCCAGCAGGGACATGTTGATGGTGGTTGTTATCTCATCTTCCGTGTGGTGAATAAAGAAACACTGGTGGAAGCAAGAGGGTGGTGAGCAGACATCTAAACTGTTTTGCTATTTAAACAGAATCTGACCCTGTGAAAGCGGACAACTCCAGTTGGCAAACAAGCCACATTAATTCAGCTGTTTTGTTCCTGAAAGTTGTATTTGTTGTGCTGAAATCCTATATGATGTTTGTCATAGGGTAGCCTAAGATTTAAATTGGCAGATAAGTGGAGAAGGTATTCAAGGAAAGAGGATAATGACTTTGTAGGAACATGTTCTTCCTTTAGGAAATTGAAAGTTCTTCTTGTTTGGTGTGATTTGATATGTTCTAGACTGAAATCTAACTGTAGTGTTTTTAACTAATCACTTTTCAGTGTCCGCTGCCAGAGTTGGAAGGGTGTTTATAGTAATTCATAGTACTTCTGTAATAATTGGTTGGTGTCTTTATAGTAATTCTATCCTTTCAAGTTTTAACAGGGAAGCCCTTGTAGTGGATCAACTTCTGCAAAATATTAGTAAAAAGCAGTCTAACTCATGCAGTTAATTATTTTTTCCTAGAGTTCTAGTATTTCTAGGGAAGTAAAAGTCAGCTGTAGGTTAAAAAATTTTCAAATGAAGAATCATAGTGATTAATATTCAAGAATACTGAATGATCAAAACTCATTCTATTCCCACTTCCAATTAGAAATCCCTTTCTTGAAATTGTGGCAAGGCATCTTTTTTTTTTTTTTTTTTTTTTTTAATACACAGCTGTGAAATAATTTGAATTATTTCTAGATTTAAACCTTCAGCAATGATGATATGTTAAATCTTCTGCCTAGTGATTTGATTGTTCCAGAAGTGGGACCAAAAATGGGTATGAGCAATATATTTAATTAAGCTCCCAGAAGCAAAGATGATGTTTTTGTGATTATATGCTGGGTGTGTAGTATAATGGTGCAACTGAAATTACAGTGCCGGAAACCACAAAGTTACTTTCCTGTACCTGGGTCTGTGATAGTAGATCCAGGAAATTATTCAGTGCAACACCAGTTATGTTTAGTAATATCATGGCTCCAGAGAGCACCCTGCAGAAGAATCACTTGTGTAGCTGCCTTTTACAGCAAGTATTTTGTTTAGGGAGAGTGAACAGAACCATTTTGTTAACAATCTTCCCTTAGCCTGACTCCTACGTTTAATCTAGTCCAAAGAGGCAGACAGTGTTGAATTCTCAGTTAGGCTACGTATTAAAGTTTAAATAATCTGGCTGAGATTTCAAAGCCACTTCAGGGATATTTTTTGCCCAGTACCCATTAATGTGAGTGGGAATTGGATCTCCAAATCCGTTAGGCAGCTTTGAAGAACTCATTCTCAGTGCACTAGCTGCAGGCACATGCTGCTGCTTTGTTAAATGAAAGTTGCTAAGCTGATTTACCTCACTGGAGGGATGGGACTTTTCTTCAGTGTCAAATTAGATCTGTAGACAAGCATCATGTACTGTATTGGGAGTATTCCTCACAGGAGTGTTTTACCCTCCTTGCCACTCTGTCTCTCTTCTCAGTAATGTTTATTATGATTTGAAATCCATATCGAACAAGCTCTGGAAGTACAACCGGTACCGCTACATTATGACCTACCATGAGAAGCCGTGGCTGCCTCCACCTTTCATCCTTCTGAGCCACATTGGACTTCTGATAAACCGCATCTTCCACTATCAGCCCCAAAATGAGCTGGATCAAGAGGAAGGTGACGTTGGACTAAGTAAGCAGAGCTAAGCTGGGGACCAAAAGAAAAAGCTGATGAGGAATGTTTTGCCAGCCTCCCATCACTTTGTAGCTCAGTTCCTCCAAAAAACCCCAAAAAGAGATTCTCTGGGTAGGAGGCTGTTTTTATTTGCAAAATGGAATTTGACTTGCCTGTCTGAGAACACTTGTAGGAAAAAGTGACTAGGGGAATGCTTTGCTTTGTATTTGGCTTTTGCTGTGCTACATACTGTGCATCAGCCAAGACACATGTCAACTCTGAGCTGAAATAAAGTGACAGCAACTTATTCTGTAGGAGTGAATAGCCTTATTTTGAAAGAAAGTAAACAATACTGGAGGTATACATTTCTGTACATTGCCCAGAGAAAGAAGCTGCAGAGTCTGAGGACAGAGGAGATCCAGTGATGGCAGATGCAGAGAGAGATCATAGGGGCCTCCCTCCTCCTCACTACATCCCTTCTTTTGTGTACTGGCTCATCACTGCACCTTAACCCCACCTCCTTCACCCTTCCCAAACTGGACTTCTGCATCCCAGAGTCCTTCCTAATGCCTCTTTAAGGCAATGACAGTGCCCTCTCCCACTGTTGCCAGCCCCTGCAGCGGTGCCAGGGGAGGGGAACACAAGATCTTGGGACAGGAATGAATACTCAGTAGTGAGGCTTGGTGGTTGGTGGGATGAGGCAGGGGAACACGGAAGAGGAGCGACTAGTGGCTGTAACCTTACCTAAAAAAACCACTGAGGAATATCAGTGCATAGTGTTATACAGTCTCATCCTTTTTTGGTGGAATGTACATCCTTGATGCCTGATAACAGAAGTGAGCAGACCCTGCCTGGGTTGTGCTTCATTTAGGATTTTCTCTGCTGAACATGAATCCCTGAAGATACCTAGCACACTCGCAGGTGGTTACAGACTTCAAAAATGGGCTTAACTAATCAATGCTGAGCTGCTTTACTGCTGCTCCCAGGCTTGGCTCTTCCATAATGACTGGATACATCAGCCTGCCTTTGAAGTACCACTGCTTACTTTATATGCACACATAGTATAAGTCACTGACAGCATAGAGGGTGTCTTACTTGTGAGGTGCATTAGGCACAAGGGAAACTGAAACTCTGCTTAGCACATCTAAAAGTCCTTGGATAGAAGAGGTCTCATGCCTTGCCTACACTTCTCTCAGAAAGAGGCTTTTTTCTCTTTCTATACCTTTGTGTGCCTTTTCTATATGCCTATGCATTGCTTGATAAGTTTCTTCTTAAATTTTGGTGTGGTTATAATTAATTAGTTCTAGCAATGAGGATCCAGTGCCACCGTGTGGAAAACCAGTGATACAGAGAGTGAAATCTTTGAGGCAAGAACATAGATGGGTTAGGGGGCAAAAGAGCCTAGGAGGTGATCAAGTCTCATTCAGAGTGAGAGAGGGACCCTGGAACACTGCGGGGGTGCTTCCCTGCTGAGCTGTGTGTTACAGCCGAATGCTACATGCTTGTAGCAAACACTGCTGTGTTGCTTCGCACAGATACTCCTCTAGCAAGTACAATGGGGACTCTGGTATGTAAAAAAGGAAAGAGAAAAGGAACTTGGAAAATGTGGCGTTTGGATCAGAAAAGCAGCTTTCCACCCTATCCATTTCTTCATACTGACGTATAATTGATCTGTTCTCTCAGAGGTCTTCGTGTACTAGAAGAATAGCATCATGAGCAGTCCAAGCTGCAGAGTTTTAAACTTCTGAGTGTGTTCTTTTCTGCCCAGTAATCTTGCTTAAATGTTTTATACATATGAACATGTGAAGCAATTAGGTGAAAAAAAGCTTTGTGGCTTTGAGTACTTGAAAGGTTATAGGTGACTAGCCCTAAATGAATGCCTGGACCAAATTGTAGTGAAAACTTTGTAAGTCTTACATATCTATAGCTAAGTCTAGTGAATCACACATGTATAACAAAATACAGGAAAAACTTTGGGAGAAAATACACCTTTTTGAGCAGCCATTTGTGTATGTACTTTTGAGGCTTTAAAAGGGAGTCCACTGGAATTTTTGTCAGTGTGGTTTTGCTCCGTAAGGAAGGACAAAAAACACGTTTACATGTATTTGGCATATTGAAGCTTTGTACATAAGCCCAAATTAATGGAGTTAGGTCTGATTCATTCTTGTCAAGGGATGGGGAGAAAACTAGTTCTAAGAATTTTCATCTTTTTTCTCATAGATGCTTATAAACAATTGCATTGCTTATAAACAATTGCATTTGTTCATACTGACTCCTACCTCATTTGTTCAGAGCTGTACCTGAGTGATGAGGAGTTAAAGAAACTCCATGACTTTGAGGAACAGTGTGTGGAAAAATATTTTCACGAGAAGAGTGAAAGCCTGAGTTCCAGTGACAGTGAAAGGATCCGTCTGACAACAGAAAGGTGAGTTTTTCTGCAGATTTGTACTCTTTGTGTACATTTGTCATATAAAAAGACTTTGATAAGCTAATGCTTTTGGAACAGGTTGTGGCCACTGTCAGCATGAGGAGCAATAGCATGCACAGGCCTTGCTAATTTGGTGGAAATATAATGTATGTTTGAACTGCATGGCAGGCCTGGCTGGGCAGCCTTGCTAGCAGAATTGCATCCCCGGATGTTTGCAGTGTGCAGATAGTTAAAGGGGTACAGTAAGGTGTTGCTCAGTTTCACTTTTGCAGATCAGGTAGCACCACGAAAATGTGCCAAAGTACGTCATACAACTCATATTTTTATTTAAAGGCCTATCAGTGTAGGAACTCTGTGGGAATATTGCTTGTGATTGAGTATAACTGCTGTTTACAGAAATAACCGTATAACCATTGTAGCATTATCTGCAATGTAGTGTCCTGGTTTGCAAAATGTCGATATACAACTGTCAATGGGGTTTCAAAACTCTCAGTATTGGCCTAATTTAGCTTGCTATTGAAATCAATAGCAAAACTGCCAATAAGTTTAATGGGAAGAGTTAAAGAAAGTGAGTGCTATAAAAAGTATTACTGAATGCCAACACTGATCTCATCTAACAAATTTGTTTTGCCTAAAGAAAGATAGCCTCTTAATCTTTGCCTGTTCATAATCTTATTTTCTACATACTAGAAAAAAACACAAAACCAAAATTAATGTCCCCTGTAAAAGAAATAAAATAAATAGCTTTGTTTAAAAGCTGCAAAATTGATTACAGCAAGATGGCATTTAGTGTGTAAATATAGATCTGGAAAGGAATTTTTTTCTGAGTGCAAAGCTGAAACACACTTTACAGCATTGCATAACATTAATACAAGAAATTAATTTACATGAATAAAATGTTTTGGAACACTGGACTTTGCTTTTATTCAGCTGTTGGTTAAATACTACATCTTTTAGTTAGTGACAAAGGAAAGGAGCAACTTTGGCATATTACCTGCAGCTCGTTTGTCACTGTCTTAGCGATACAACACCAGAGAGAGTATCTTCAGGAAACATGAAGATAACAATTTGGTTAAAACTATATAATTCCAGGCCAAGAAGTTCTTGCAGTATTCACAGGGGATTTGAAGACCATAAAAAAAGGCTTTGCTTTTTGGGCAGTTGAATTTTACCTGAAGATAACTGATGGCATCAGACACGCAGAATTTGTTCCCAGAGGCCAGATTCATTCTTGGGAAGACACTTTTCACAGCAGTCTCCAGTACCTGAGAAATGCAAGAATATCTGTAGGTTTGTGTGAGCCTTGTCCTTCTCATGCTTGCACAAGAAATGTAGAAATGCAGCATGACTGGATGACAAGAAGTATACTTTAGAGCATGTTACATTTACAGCGATAGCAAATGCAGCATTTCCAAAGCTGTGTCCTGCTGTCTGTGGTTTAGTAGTTCTATGGCAAGGAATGGACATTAGCAGGAAAATAGCAGTTTTTAAAATAGATACTCCTTGAGAAAAAGCCTGTTTCGTTAAAGTCACTGGCTGTTGGCCCAGTAATCTGAATGACAGGTTTTAAAGCTGGGTGAGTTTTGCCAAGTATAGATATTCATGGGAATGGAAGTCACCATTAAAAAAAATTAAAGGACTGCGTGAAACACTGACTTTTTGAAATGTGTTATTGGCTTCCGTCATCATCTGGCAAGCAGAAGTAAAGATCTGTATCTTGGTGTTTGAATTATATTTTCTTTTTCTGCCTAGAGTGGAAGAGATGTTTCTGCAGCTTAAAGAAGTACATGAGAAGGTATTTTACATCAAGGAGTCTTTACTCTCCCTGGATAGCCAGCTAGGACATTTGCAAGACCTGTCTGCCTTGACAGTGGACATTCTGAAAGTGCTTTCGGCTGTAGACACCTTGCAGGTGAAAGAAGCCTTACTGGCTGACACAAAACATCATACCTGTAGGAAGCTGCCCCATAGCTGGAGCAATGCACTCTATTCCAAGACCTTGAGCAGCCTGGAGTGTTTGTATGACAAGAAATACCACTACTACAGCATGCCACCGTCCCTCTTACGGAGCTTGGTAAGAAGTCAGTGGCCATCAGAATGCAAAGACCATGTGTCGAGGGCCGAGAGTAACAAAGTAGTAGAAGACAGCTCTCGAAAGATAGAAATAGAAAGTGACACACTCACTTCAGGAGTATCCTCTGAGACTAAGTCAACGCCTAGATATGGACAGTTTTTGCTGGTGCCCCCTGACCATCAGGGAGGGTCTTTCTCTGAGGATGTCACCATAGATTTCTCCTTTTTGAGCACTCCTGCCAAGTACAGGGACAACGCATTCAGAGATGAACTGCAAAGTAGCATTGTGGTGCAGCAAAACTTGCGGAATGTCAGCCTTATTGGCAAAGAGTCAGGAGATTATCAATGGAGCCAGAGAGATTTTGTTACTCATTTGCCATCAGAAAAGACTAATACCATAGAGACTGTTCAGCCTCTTGGTCTCCAGCCATCGCTGGATATTGAAGAGAGTGCAGCACCCTCCTGCGATGACAGGGAAGAAACTGAAGGTGGTTATGTGAACTGGGGATTCTCTGAAGGTGATGAAAAAGGGGTTTTCAGCTCAGAAACAAAGAAGGCGGCCATATGCATACATTCCACCTATAACGGTGACTGCAATTGCACGGGTAGTCCTCCCAGGCATGTCAAGATAAGAGAATCAAAGTCCTTCTCCTACAGCTCTGACAGGTCACATCGCAGCAGCATCATCTCTCAGAACAAGCTGAAACGCAGCACGTCCTTCTGGATCAGCCCACTGTGGAGGGATTGGAGTTTCTGCAGGAGTAACAGTTTACAGTCCCCTAAGAAAGATAAAAGAGAGAAAACCTGCAAAGCCATAGGTGGTAATTATAAAACAGTACACCTGTACAGTGTCTTTTACTGAAGAGCCCAAGACATTATAAAGACATTTCCTTTGCACAAAGGAGGTATTAGCTGCAGTTGAGGGTAGTAGCAGAGAGTCCAGAGTTACTCCTTCATGTTCTTTGTGCTGGGTCTGACTGCTGTAGGGGATTTCCGAAGTGTGCGTGGTATCCAAGCTACACCACACCTGTGTGTCAGCCGTGCTGATTTTCCCCGTCTCATGGGATCCCTATGGCTGTGGCTACACAGGTGGTGTGACAGAGGAACTGTGCTCTGTTGGGGAAGTCTCCTGCCCTGGGGATGCAGTGCAAGAGTTACAGGAGCCAAAATAGATTACGCAGTCTCTAAGAGGTACATTAGCAGTATCATAGCTCAGATGTGTGCATGGAGAATGAAGAGGTATACGTTTTTATAGCCAGTTTAAAAACCTCCCTGTCCACCAGCAAGTTTGCTTACCAACAGCTAAAATATAGCAGATTCCAGTGCTAAGTATAAATATAAGATGATGGATAACATTTGTTGTTTTATATCTTATGATGGTGCACATCTTTGCACTGAACTGCATGAATATTAGCTTTGGGTGTCACAAGTCTTTCTCAGCTTGCTTTGGAGATCAGCCAGCTCCTAGTCTTATCAGATCTTCTCTTAGTAAACAAAAGCTCTGTAGTTTAATGGTGTATTTTGAC